TATATCGTACATGAAGTAGAATGAGAGGCTGAGCAAGAGTGTTTGATCAGGAGGAAGAGGAAGAGGGGAAGGGGGAGAGGATTTGATTAAAGGCCATGAAGAGAGTCTGAGTGGTCATCAAGAGAGGAGAGGACAGTTTGAAATGTTGTTGACAAAGTGGACGAGACAGAATCTCTCTCTCTCACTCTCTCTCTCTCTTTCATTTTGTCTTTCTATCTAGGAATATTGAATAATTAATACATTGGATTAATCAGAGAAAAGCTGTTATTGTTCACAATTAATCATGATAAATGAATAAACTATAATTAATTATGATTAATTGAGCTAAGCTCTATGTATCCAAAAAAAAAAATCTGTGTTTTTGATGGACCTTTAGATGTTCAGTGATTGGTCATATATTTTGTGATGTAATCAGAATATTCCAAGCTGTAGTTTGGCAGCCGTTCTCTCTACCGAGTTGAATGGCTGCCACATCTGTCACAAAAAAAGTCTGTTGAAAAAGAATGTTTAGTCTGCCTGTAACCAGGTCCTTTTTCTCTCTTGTCTTTGTCCTGGCCATGTTACACAAATCCCCATCCTGTCCGCCTGTTGTCCTGTTGGCACAGCTGTGAGACAAATAACACCACAAGTAAACAGAGATGGATGTTCAGAAGATCAGCCTGGGGGTGGAACCTCTGTGGATTAATAATAATCAATTAAACACAGACTAATTTAAGATTAGACTGAGTGATTATGACATTGCAGATACAGAAGGACATACCTGTATGCAGTAGAAGTATTAATCCGCCAGTAGACCTCCAGAATGTTCTGATCACACCTTCAGGTATAAAAAGACACAATTCTTTCACATCTTTGGAGTCGAATGACTGCATTGTTCTAACATGCTCTGTGGGCAAAGCCAGGGCTTAAATCCAAAATGTGGCAGCAATTTTGGAATTTCTGCTCCGGTGAGAATCTGCAGCCTGTTTCCTTTTGTGAAGCTCTAAATGTTTGTAGGCTATCAGAGCAGGGAATTTCACGGCCAGTTGGGTGGCAGGAAGTGTCTTTGGTCGGGGTGTTTGCGTAAACAGCTCATAAATGGTTTTAGCCCGGAGGTAGGATTATGTAGCACATGCACAAACACACACACATGCAGATGCAGACGGATGTGTACATGCATGCAGTAGTGTCAGCTGTGTGTATCGCCACATTCACTTGTTTGTATGTGTAATGATTCTGTATTCACAAAAGTCATCATTTCTTCTCATATAATTACAATGAAACCTGTGGAGGAAGTTGAGTAGTAGCCAAATGAGGTAATTTACTCTGACTCTTTTTTTTTTTGTTCTTGATGAGAGCTGCGTCGGCGGCTGCTGACAGAAAAAGAATGGCTTTAATAGCTTAGCATTTAATAGTGCTTATAAAGACAGCAACGAGAACACTGTGAATCCAAAAGTTTCTGGGTTTTGAGAGAAGGCAGTGTTCAGTAAGGGTAAAATCTCAAATCCAGTTTGGAGATAGGGGGCACTGTGCCATAACTGGCTGCAGTCTGAGAGCATTTTCCTATTCAGTTTTGCAGAAAGGTTTGTGTAAACCTTGAGGAAACCTTGAACTTTGAGGTGAAAACCTTGGCAGCTCTGAAACATCTGCTTTGGACGACAGTTCAAAAAGGTGAAGCCTAATATACAGAGGGACCTAATGTCCTTTTCACATTCTTTTTTTTTTTTGGTAAAAAGTTTCCAGATCTTGGCTTTGTTTTGAGTTCAACAAATAATGTGTGATCAGCAAATCAACTTTTATATTGTCTTTGTATTTTACATCATTTATTTTCCTGTATAAGACGGTGTTTGAACAACATATTTATATTCACAAAATCAAGGCCATGCCGTTGGTCAAAACATCACCTTTCAACTTTGTCGTGTAGATCTAACATTTTCCTCCTTACAGCTTGAATTCTTATCTGATGATCAAACACGTGTTCATTGTCTTTCAGTCCATTTCAGATGAGATCAGGTCCAGAAAATCGAACTCTATTATTTATCAACAGTTACAGTCTAAAGGCTAAACTTGCTTTGCCCCTCGTTCTACCACATCAGATTTTAATACTCTACCCTTATGGTGATAAGGCCCCACACAATAAGCAGCACTTTTCCACCTCTTAGTATTTGCAGGACTTGAAAATTTAAATTTTTCCAGTAAGCCTACCACATAAAGCCAACCCAAATTTCCCAACCTTTAAAAACCAAGTCTGCTTTAAGATTTTCTCTGGTGCTGCTATTTTTATCCCTTGATATTCTTCTTGTATTAGTTTGTTCTTGTCTTGTTTAAATATATTATTTTACCAGTTCAGATTTCAATTTCATATATATGAATATAAGAAAAGCCTAAATGTCAAAAGTGTACATAAGCCCTTTTTTTTAATAAGCGTAGAATAATAAACCAGCAGGAGTTGAAGCCATGACACCCCCTGCTGAGGGAAGAAATTACCTCAGAAATAAAAACAAATATGACTGATAAAATCCTCTTCAGAGAAATATTTTGACAATAACTTCTGCTTTATGAAAATTCCCAGCTTATTAATATAACATTATGTCGGTGTCGCTCTGGAGCAAGGGCTTGTCTGTGTTTGACCTTATAAGACTTCGGTGGGTGTGATGTCAAATGAGGGTTTATGAGGTGCTTTCCAGATACCCAGGTCCCCATCACCGCCTCGTGCGCCTGCGTTTTACAATTGCTAATGTCACTTTAAAGAGTCAAACGGGGGTCAGGGTGGACAGCTTCTCTTCATCTCCTTACTCTAATTCAGTGTTTGTGACTGTGTTTCCAGTAAGCTGAGATCGATTCCCGTCGAGCAGTGACACATTTTCCATCGTGAGCATGTTATGAGGCTTTAAGTAAGTGAATTATTCCTTTACAACAGCCCACAAAGTCCAAACTGTCTGGCAGAGAATAAAGGGCCACTGGATGCCAGTGAGTCTGAGCTTGAAGCAGTAAATGTCTGATTCAGCTCAGGTGGTTTGGCAAAAATGTTTACTTGAACATGGGATTCTCACATTTTTCTGCTGCATCAGTGTCACCACTTGTCACTCTGAGTTTCAGCAGAGACCAGAATTAATTCAACGTGACCCACCAGATGGCTTATTACATGGAAACACATAGAAATGTCGTTTATGGGGAGTGGGGAGAAGGGCAGGCAGATTTATTCTAATTTCTGAGGTAACGGCTCGACTTGGGCATCTGATTTAAAATGAAATAATTATATTCTAGAACCGAGGTCTGAGATGCGTGCTCCCTAATGGTTAAAGGATCAGCCTTCTGATTGGAGGATTGCTGGGTTGTTAAGTTCAAACTCATTTTACATTTTTCTTCACTCTTACTAACTTTGTTTTCCACACAGATCTTTTTCAGTCGTTTCATGTGAAAATGTTCTGTATTTTTTATTCTGCCCTTCTGTTTTTGCCCCTCCATCCTTTCTTAGATATTCTGTCCTTCACAATGGAAGCCACACAGAGCAGGAGAAGACAAAGTCTCTGCTCATTGAGTCCAGCTTGTGACATGTCACATCTCCGTTGGTCTCCTGCCTTTGTGTCAACACAAGTCAGACTTTTTACACACAACAGGCTAGTGACATTACCGGGGCAGTGGAAAAGACGCGACTCAAACTCTTGTCTCAGAAGGTGCGGCATTTCTGTCTATTCTATGGTTGTGCAGGCCCACAGACTGAGGTGACCAAGCTGAACTGAAACAGACTCGTCAGCAGTTTGCCTTTAGGAGGACCTGTGGCTGCGACTGCCTTAAGGACAACTTTAAAGGGAAGCGACTGTGTGGGAAAGCTGTGGATGTGAGTTCTGTTGCCAAAGCTATTTGATAGTTCACCTATTTCTAACAATTGTACAACGATCTTGTCTATGTTTTGTTTTCCCACACAAAGTCAGTGAGATTTACATAAAAGAGAGATTTTAGACAGTTCTAGCTTATGCACAAGTGTAAAAAGAGAAAGAGGTCATGAATATGCTTTTCATATTTCCATTAAACATTGCATTAAAGCAGTTAGTTTTTCTTTTTTTTCTTTTTTTTTTTCTCTCCCAGGTCAAAGTTTCCTAGCGAGGCTAACAGTACCTTCGTAGCTGGCAGGTAAATGTGTTGGCAAGGCTGTGGTGGGTCATGCAACAAATTATCTCCTAAATATTTTTGTTTTTTCATGCCATTGGAAGCCATACGAAGAAAACCGTTGAAAGTGATTAGTGAGAAATTCCGTCTTTTGTTCACACCGTGAAAACATGTACAGTTTATGAATGATATTAAGAAATAGAACAAAACGTTCTTTTTTCATGCTATTTATTTAGCTTTTATTTTCCTGTCTTTAACATAGCAAAGATCAATTTATGACTGTTCATGCAAGACATCACCTAAGACACATGTTTAATGTGAAGAAATTTAGTGCCAAATAGTTTCAATAGTGAAATTTGAATTTAATCTTCTTGAACCCAACTTTAAAAAACAAAAACATTTTGCTAAAGCTAATCATCTGTTTCTGTTCTGTACCGACCCAGCAGTGTCAGAGCCCGAACTGTCACCAGTCAAGAGTTTACAAAAAAACAGAAAAATGAATACCAACTTAACTTTTTCAGCAATTCCCAAACTTTAAAGTTGATGCTGGATTTAGTTTGAAAACAGAGTAAGAATGACTTGAAATGTAGTGAGAAAAAGGAACTCTAAACTCAACAGCGCTACAGAAAAAGACAACACTTTAGCTCATTATTTCTGTACTGAGGCACTTTTACTGTTATTGGATTAGAGAAAAACACTCTGCGACAAAGCTTTACTTTTTGGACACCCTGACAAAGTAGTGGTATTAGTGTCATTTTGACACTCCAAGGATTAAATGTGTTTTGTTTTTTGTTTTTTTGTTTGTTTGGCGATGAGCCCTAGTGACTTCAAACTACATACTGACATCCACAGTAAAAAAGAAAAAAAACACAATGAATTGACTGTGTAACAAAATCCTTATTTAACACCACAATACATAAACATTGTCAAAGATGGCAGATCTTTGACAATTCAATTTACCATGGATTTATAAAATAAATAGATAAAAGGATTGCAACGAATGTTGTGCAGAACAGAATAATTACCTCATCTCATAAAGCAAAAAAAAAGCAAACACCAGAAGTGAATGTTTTTTTCATGTTTTTCAAAAAGCACTGCATTCCAATTAACAATTAACTAAAAACACAACTGAAGGAGCCAAAAACCGGCCTCTCGACTGGTTGCACCGGGTGATTATATAATTACTAATACTCACAAAGACAGAGCTCTGACCCAGTTTAGGAGATCGTAGATAAAAAGCAACAGTCAGATGCACTCACCGAACAGCAGAAGCTCCGTTGCACAATCAAATGTACCAGACTTCATCAAAGCTTATTTCACTTCAATGCATCACATCGGTCTAATCTTTAAAATTTTTTTTTTTTTACCCTGCAGACAGATTAAATCAAAAGGTCAAAAACTGGTTAAATGTCATTGGTTATGCTAATTTTTCATTTCAAATTAAGTGTCACAAAAATTCACTTTGGTTGTTGGTTGGCAGTTAAATGTTGTGTTATTAAGTTGCATTCATGGTTTTGCTTCATGGGTTTGTCTGTTTTGGTGGTGTTTTGTTGATGGTTCTGATGACGCAGTAAATCTAAATAATGACAGCATCAATAAGTTGAAAAGTGTCTGTTCATTTATAGGGTATTATATAAAAATACTGTAATATACGAGCGTTCAGCTTTTATTTTGTTCTTTGATTATTCTTCAGTTTCTCTGTTATTGTCTTCCATTGTTGAAGCACATGCACTTTTCTCTGATGAGTTTAGCAGTGACCTGTGATAAACAGTATTCTAAGATGGTAGAGTCCATGGATGTTTGTTTGTGTTGTTTACCCTTATTAGAATATTATTTATTTTCCTAAAAAGAAATTCCATAAATAAGTTCAAATGTTAATATTTTCCTCTTGAAAACATTAAAAACACTTTGCCAATAACCATTGATTTGTCTCTTTACATATGTAAAAATTAATATTTTTAAACAACATTGGCAACAGTTGAATCTTCACGTCACGCTTCATTAAAAACAAATCAGTTCCACTTGAACCTGTTTGTTTTGCAAAAAGCTTCTGTGATATTTTACTCAGAATTAAATGGTGTTATTATTTTGACTGCTTCAGTGATAATTACTCAGTTTTAAAAGGTGTATCGATGAAAATTCAATTTATTGAGAAGCACAATATAAATTATTCATGATTTTTCTTCCTCAGGTTAAAAATCCCTACAAGCAACTTCAACCATGGAACTTTAAATAGACATTTTTTTCCCAATTCATTTGTGGTACTGAATGTCTCTTTTGGCCAGATTTAAAAGGACAGTATTATTAAAAAAAATAGACTTAGGTAAGTTGAACTCAGTAAAATAACTTATTTTAAAATAACTCAAAAAATACAATTATGATCAAATGTAAAGCAAATAAATATACTATAAAATATATTAATAAATTAAAGCAAATAAAGGAAAAGTCTAATCTCCTAAAGTAGGGGTATGGCAAAATATCTATACTAAATTGCAATATATAATAAATAAATTAAATAAAAA